TTGCACGTGGAGGGAGTCGCGGCAGAAAGCTGCTGTAACATAAATTTGAGATATTAAAAAAATGATATTGCAGTATTTAGCAAAACAATAATAATTTGAATCTAATGAAGAAAAAAAACCCGCAATTGTAACTAGTACTTTAGAAATAGATTGAAGTAATACTAATTCTTTATCACATTATTTCCAGCTATATACTTGTGCTACAAGAATTACATATACTACCGGGATAATCCAGTCACCCTCATCCAGACGACGAACCTGAAGGGATACGCGCAGTCCATCTTCACGAAGCAGGAGACCTGGATGACGTTGCTGGTAGTACTGGCCATCGCTCTCACCATACTGCTCATTATCATCATATTCCTGAGGAGTCGAATTGTAATCGCCATTGCACTTATAAGAGAAGGAAGCAAGTGAGTTAGCCTTTTTTGTCACAAATAAGCCAGCGCTTGACGACGTTTCCACATAAACTGCACAACTTTTACGTGTTTTTTACTATTAGATAACTTAAAAATATCACTTTAGTCGAAACCCATGATCCCTATTAAATATGATAATTATGTTCTCCGTGATGTAAAACCTCGTTGGTGAACCTTGCTATCTCCGAAAGTAACCGAAATTAAAAACTAAACTTTATCTACACAGAGCCCTGCATTGTGTTCTGCGCGTGAGTGTTTTGTAGAAGAAAGTGTTCGTTTCATTCCAGGGCAGTGACAGCTATAAAGTCGACAGTTCTATTCCCGATATTCCCGTGGCTGGTGCAGTGCGCGGCCATCGCTTACGGCGTGCTCGTGCTCATGTACCTGCTGTCAATCGGCGACCCCGCATTCCGCGTCGTCAACCTCAGGAATGATACGAGCTGCGACTGCGGCGGCGTCTATACTGAGGTAACATACATTAGATAAAAAATTAAACTTTATTAGCTGTCATAATGATACAAGTAATTGAATACAATGTTTTTTTTGTTTTAATAACGGTCTTTCAAGTTATTCAATTGTTCAAACTTTCGTCAAATATAAAGTACAGTTTATAGTAGCGTTCAAAAACTGGACTGTCAAAAATGGCACAGTGTGAACAGCTGTACTGGCCAAGTGTAAACCGAGAACTAACCCGTCCATACCCAAAGCAAATCAGTGATTTTAGTCTCTTAAGTTGCTTACGCAATACAATGTAGCATGTCGGCGTTAGTTAGGATGTTTGTACACAGGTATACCTGTGTACAAACCTCAAAAATTATATTGGGTAACTTGATTAGAAACTGAATGAAAGTCAAAAAAAAAATGTTTTGAGATACTGAACATACTTTTGAGATAATGTATTTTTATTCTTTGCAGGACTACGTGAGTTGCGACCCAGCTACATTTACACTGAAGTGCCGCGACACTAGCGCCGGCGCGGGCGAGCTGGGCACCTGCCGCCTCGCCTCCTGCCACTTCACCGGCCTTGATGGACCCCACAGCATCGTCTACTTACACTGTAAGATTTTTACGACTACTTATGTACTAAACAAAGTAAACAGATATAATCCGTCGGCATCCTTAAATTCAATGTGAAAAAAACTAAGCACAATTTTATTTACAACTATAGTTTTTGCTCGCGATTTCGCTTGCGTGAAATCATATATAATTGAAAAATGTAGCCTATATGACTCACTGATAACGTAGGTTTTTAACAGTGAAAGATTTTTTTAAATCGGTCTAGTAGTTTTTGAGTTATTTCAATACATACAAAATAATACTTTTTTTTTATTTTCATAGATTAATTTTCTTTTAATTATTTACCGATGCCAACGAAAACGACAATAAAAAGAACAATTTCAGTTTAGCTAACTATTTATCTAAGAACAAAATACTGAATCTATTATCTGTATTGGTTTAGTGGTGAATCTGCTGGGCTTCTTCTGGACGATGTTTTTCATCAGCGGCGTGGCCGACATGATGCTGGCGAGCACCTTCTCCACCTGGTACTGGACCACGCACAAGAAGAACCTGCCCTTCTTCACGCTTACTGCTGGCATCTATCGGACGCTGCGGTAAACTGCCTTAAAGTTCTGTCGACGTCTTTAACCATTTTAGCGTCTTTATATTGTTTGCAAGTATAAATGAAATGTGTTTTTTTTTTATCAAATTAAAAATAATCATACTTCATACTAATATTATAAATGCGAAAGTTTGGATGGATGGATGTTTGTTAAAGTTTGTAGCTTAATCAGCTGAACGGATTGCGATGAAAGTTGGCACAGAAATAGAGGACAGTGTGGAAGAAAACTCACTTTTGTTTTTATTAATTGCACGCGGACGTAGTCGCGGATGAATTATAATTTATTGTAACTTGATTCGAACCCTTAGCCTTAAGTTCAGTAGTCCGTACCTCTAAATATGAGTTTGTTGTTAATCTTTTTTTATATTTTTTTTTTCAGGTATCACCTTGGCACCGTAGCTCTAGGTTCTCTAATCATAGCCATAGTGAGAGTGATAAGAGTAATTCTGGAATACATCGATCATAAAATAAAGAAGTTCGACAACGCGTTCACTCGCTGCATTTTGTGTTTCTGTAAATGTTTCTTCTGGTGCTTGGAGAACTTTCTCAAGTTTATAAACAAGAATGCGTATATAATGTGCGCGGTGCACGGCAAGAACTTCTGCTCTAGCGCCAGAGATGCCTTCTCTTTGCTTATGAGGAATATCGTCAGAGTTGTTGTACTCGATAAGGTAAGTTAATATTTACTTATGATACTTTTTTATTTAACAAAATATTAGTATAATAATTTTGAATATATTATTTTCACTTATTCGTGTATAAATAATGCAAATTAAAAAAATGTAATCTCTCAAAGATAATGTTCTGAGTTCTCACAAACTAAAAGGTTAAACTAAGAACCTAAAGCAAAAGATGATATATTAGAAATAAATAAAACGACTAGAAAGATATATTCACATATTTAGAACATTGGAATAAACATATCTGTCTTAATAAAATTCTAAGGGGCCTGTCCCACCAAATTATAAACGTGTAAAATATGTGATAGAAGTATCGTATTTTATTCCCTTATCTGACAGTGACTCTATCAGCGAGTGGTAGGACAGGCCCTAAGTGTGATGGGTAGTGGTTAATCTTGATATTGTGTAAGCGTAAATTTTAAACAACTATTATATCTGTATTTCAGGTGACGGATTTCATATTCTTCCTATCGAAGCTGTTGATATCGATCGGCGTGGGTTTCGCGGTGTACTACCTGCTGCAGGTGAACTATCTGTACGAGGTGACGCGCGGCGAGCGCCTGCATCACAACTACATCCCCGCAGTCATACTCAGCGTGGCCACGTACCTCATCTGCACTATATTCTTCAATGTCTACTCTATGGCTGTGGATACACTGTTTCTATGCTTTTGTAAGTATAACCTCCAAAATCCTTATAAAAATGTCAGATTAATTTGCCATGACTTTTTCATTGTACAGTATTGTCCAACTTTACCATATTTTTTAAAAGAAATTGACTAACTTCCTTCATATTTAATATATAAACTAGCTTCGTGGTATTAATAAAAACAAAAGAAAGTAGTAGTATGTGTTCTTTCAGACTATCCTATACATCTATGCCAAATTTCATCCAGATCCGTTCAGCCTTTTAGGATACAAACTCTAACATCCATCCATCCAAACTTTCACATTTATAATATTAGTAAGATGTCCGTAAATAATAATTTAAAAAAATGTTTCGTGGACATGATTGTATTTGCGTTGCTAATAACGAAAAACCAATTTTTGTCTGTCTGCATTTGTTCCGGATTATCATCCGAAGGAATGGAATCGATTTTGTAGCTTATGTTATGTTTTTAATGCTACCGAAGTCGCGGATGATAGCTAGTTTATGCTAAAATTATGTTTTAGTGACTCGCGATATATTAATTTAAACCAATTTTAATATTTCAGTGGAAGATTGCGAAAGAAACGATGGATCGGCGGAGAAACCTTACGCTATGTCTAAAAACCTTATGAAAATACTCG